TGATGTGTAAAGTATGGCACCAACTCTGCGGTAGTTAGAGGATATGCACATATATGCGGTACAATGATTGGGAGAGCTCACGCGGCATTCGCTAACAAAGGGGGCATAACTTGATTGGGAATGAAGCGCCAACCATACGTACGAACGGCGTGCATCAAGAGCCCGGGTGTGGTCGTATGCAAGGACCAGCCAGACTTCGCTGAGTGAGGGTTAACAGCCCTGGCAAATGCCTTTGCAGATTTAGAGTAGAACCAGAAAATTCAGCGAAGAACTGAGATGATAGGGACGAGGAAGGCCAGGCTACACACCATATAGCTGCAAATGCAAGGCTTGTCAATATCCAACAGAAATGATTTGAGTGGGCAGCTTGAATTCATACTCAACTCGGGTACGGAAAAAGGCCTTTATAGGTGCCCTGAAATAAAAGGCAACAATTTGCGCACTCAGAGCACGAGTACCAGCAGCAGAGGCACCAGTTGCAGCATTGTGTCGAGATTTCCTTCGAGAGGTTGAGTCCGACTGAATCAGGTCGTCGATGCTCGCTTGATCTGTATGACCAGATGATAGATCATCTGTCATTTTGAAAACTCAGAAGAAGATCTCGCAAGGCCAGGCTTCGGATTTTGGCAAAAGAGCACTTGCGGCTAAGACGAAAGCATGGCAAATTAATACTCGATTTCATGAACGACTCAGTTATATGTGCATTGTGTATGAGTAGGAGTGTGACAGGTTGGTGAGAAATATTACAACGTTGTGCGATCAGGTAGTATCTCAGATGAAGAATGAAGAGAAACCTGACGAAGAGTCTTGAAGAAGCCGATGGGGATATCGGCCAGGCTGAGGTCAACACAAATGATGCACTGTACTCCTCAAATACTCAAAAGTATACTTATAACAGACGGTTCACAAAACGGAAATCAAACAGCTCAAACATGTCTTACTAATATCTTACTTAGCCTTCTGAGAACGCGCTTCGTCTCGCGTTAAGATTGCGCCTGGCTTCCTCCGCGACTGTTAATTAAATGCTCAGTTGCGGTCTAACACGCTTCTCTTCCAATTAATTTTTCTGCAACACCGGCAGCTTCAGATATCGTCCCCAGTGTAGTCTGTAGCTTCTCCTCCTACAGCCTATCACTTCGACCATTCCCTTTCCAGTTCCACCTCTGAACGTTCGTTCTAGTTTTGTCCGGGAGTTCTTGTTAAAGGACTGCGTGCTGCTACGTACGGCGAACCTCTAAGCGTTTAGCCCGCGCCACTGGAAACCCTACACCATGGCAGAAGAGATTGTGATTGATAAGAATACATTCTTCAACCGACTCACGAGCTTCTACTCAGCATGGAAAGCAGATAGGCGCTCCAACAATGCCACTTTTGGCGGCGTTTCATCTATCGTTATTCTCATGGGGAAGACAGACGAGGCTAACAGTTTTCAAAAAAACAACGCGATGCATGTGAGTTGTTGCTGAGGTGATAAATAGGCTGGCAGGCAACACACTAATGGACAAATGACTAGTTCTGGCTACTTGGCTATGAATTCCCTGCTACTCTCCTGGTATTCACTACTGAGGTGGTATATGTCGTTACAACAGCTAAGAAAGGTAAATCCTTCGGTCTTTTGATTCATCAAACGTTCCTGTGCCCGGTACTTCGATATACCTTTTACTGAGCAACATTAACTTACAGCCAAACATCTTGAGCCATTGAGAGGGGGCAAAGTCCCAGTAGAGATTTTGGTGACCTCGAAGAATCCAGAAGAGAAAACAAAATCATTTGAGAAGTGCATAGAGGTCATCAAGACAGCTGGTGTAAGTTATGCCACGGCTATAAAGGTGAACATCACATGCTAAGGTACAACGTGCTGCTTCAGAAAAAAGTTGGTATCTTGCCAAAGGATACAGCTTCTGGCCCCTTTTCCGAGGATTGGAGGAGGGCTTACGCAGCCGGTGGTGGAGAATTGGAGGAAGTCGACATATCTGGCGCCCTGTCAGCTGCACTTGCAGTCAAGGATACAGATGAACTAGTCAGTTCCTCCAAGCTGCGTCGTGTCAGCTAGAATTGCAATCGTTAACTGTTCTGAAGGTATCCATCCGAAATGCGTCAAGAGCCTGTAGTGGCTTGATGGCCGATTACTTTGTGGACGAAATGTCTCGTCTCCTCGATGAAGAGAAGCAAATGACCCACAAGGCTCTCGCCATGAAGATTGACGCGAAGATTGACGACGCTAAATTTTTCAACAAATTAGCGAAACTCCCAAGTGAATTCGATCCCCAGCAAATTGACTGGGCTTACGGTCCCATTGTACAAAGTGGAGGAAAATATGACCTTCGGCTCACAGCTTCTTCCGACAATAACAATCTTCAACCAGGGATCATTGTCGCAGGATTTGGAATTCGCTACAGGACTTACAGTTCGCTCATCGCGCGTACATACCTTGTTGATCCAAGCAAGTCTCAGGAGGCAAACTATGCTTTCCTTCTGAATGTTCGCGATGCGGTCGTCAAAGACGTTCGTGAGGGTGCAGTGGCTAAGGACTTGTATCACAAAGCGATCAGTTTGGTTCGGGCTAAAAAGCCAGAGCTTGAGACGCACTTCGTTAAATCGGTTGGCGCAGCTGTAGGAATTGAGCTCCGCGATTCTAACATGCTGCTAAATGGGAAGAATGACAAGATATTGAAGAGTGGCATGACATTTTCAGTCACTGTTGGGCTTACTGATGTTGAGGATTCCAGTGCAAAAGATAGGGGTAGCTCCGTTTATTCAATGGTCATCACTGATACAGTCCGTGTCGGCGAAAATGGGCCACTTGTTTTTACGAAAGACGCTGGTGTGGACATGGACTCAGTTTCCTTCTATTTTGGGGATGAAGAAGAATCTGAAAAGCCCGTTAAGGAGAAGAAGGAGGTCAAGTCAAGCGCCATTGCCAGCAGGAATGTCACTCGAACGAAGTTGCGTGCCGAGAGGCCAACCCAAATCAATGAAGGCGCAGAGGCGCGTCGTCGTGAGCATCAAAAGGAACTGGCCACCAAGAAAACAAAAGAGGGGATGGACAGGTTCGCAGGTACTACAGGGGATGAAAATGGGGTCACACACAAAAAGTTTAAGAGATTCGAGTCTTACAAAAGGGATAATCAATTGCCCACAAAAGTGAAAGACCTCACTATCTATGTCGACCACAAGGCTTCCACGGTCATCGTCCCTATCATGGGCCGACCTGTCCCATTTCATATCAATACCATCAAGAATGCCAGCAAGAGTGACGAGGGGGAATATGCCTACCTGAGAATCAACTTTCTATCACCAGGCCAAGGTGTTGGCAGGAAAGATGATCAGCCCTTCGAGGATCTCTCGGCACATTTTCTACGGAACTTGACTCTTAGGTCTAAAGATAATAATCGACTCGCCCAGGTGGCTCAAGATATCACAGAGCTTCGGAAAAATGCACTGCGACGTGAGCAAGAAAAGAAGGAAATGGAAGATGTGGTCGAGCAGGACAAATTGATTGAAATCAGGAGTAAGTGACTCAGAGATCATTGCCTACGCGAGGATTCAGGATAACCATTTTAGACCGTCGTCCTGTCAAATTACCTGACGTTTATCTGCGGCCACCTTTGGACGGGAAGCGAGTCCCTGGTGAGGTTGAGATACATCAGAACGGCCTTCGCTATATGTCGCCCTTCCGCAATGAACACGTCGATGTGCTTTTCAGCAATGTGAAGCATCTTTTTTTCCAACCATGCGCTCATGAGTTGATCGTCTTGATACACGTCCATCTGAAGACACCTATACTGATAGGAAAAAGGAAGACTAGGGATGTTCAATTCTACAGGGAAGCTACTGAGATGCAGTTCGATGAGACTGGGAACCGCAGACGTAAACACCGTTATGGGGACGAAGAGGAGTTTGAGGCTGAACAAGAAGAACGGCGACGAAGAGCAGCGTTGGACCGCGAGTTCAAGGCGTTTGCTGAAAAGATCGCGGATGCTGGCAAAGACGAAGGAGTCGACGTTGACATCCCATTCAGAGAAATTGGCTTTACTGGTGTTCCCAACCGGTCAAATGTCTTAATTCAGCCTACTACAGACGCTCTCGTCCAACTGACTGAGCCCCCGTTCTTGGTGATCACTCTTAACGAAGTTGAAATTGCTCACCTAGAAAGAGTACAGGTAAGTTATAATCTCTTCACTGGTCTTGTCGACTCTAATGTTTTTACAGTTTGGACTCAAAAACTTTGACCTTGTCTTTGTTTTCAAGGACTTCCACCGGGCGCCCGTGCACATCAACACCATTCCCGTTGAGTCGTTGGAGGGTGTGAAAGATTGGTTGGATTCTGTCGACCTCGCTTTCACAGAAGGCCCCCTGAATCTAAACTGGACCACTATCATGAAGACAGTAGTGAGTGATCCCTACGGATTCTTTGTGGATGGAGGTTGGTCGTTCTTGGCAGCAGAATCCGACTCTGAGGGCGGATCGGACGAAGAAGAGGAGTCCGCGTTTGAGCTCTCCGAATCCGAGCTTGCGGCTGCGGACGAGAGCTCGGAAGATGATAGCGAATTTGATGATGATGCTAGTGCTGAAGCAAGTGATGACTTCAGTGCGGATGAAGAGAGCGGTGAGGATTGGGACGAGCTCGAATTGAAGGCGAAGAAGAAGGACAGGGAAGGTGGTTTGGACGATGAGGAGCGGGGCAAGAAACGAAAGCGATAGTTGAGATGAAATGTTTGGCTTTGGCATGACGACTACCACTCCTGCCACTGCTTCTACTACTATCACTACTGTGATCACAACCTGATGTGCTACCATCTTAATGCAGTCACATATGGATTTCCCGCACCCATTGATCGGTATGACATTTACCGCAAACTCTTAGGGTCCGCTTGACACGCGCAACTGCGACCAAGTAATATAACAGCTGACGTTTCTAAAATGATACGTGTATAGGAGTAGCCCTGAGGTGCTGTGTACAGACTATATGCAGTAAACCTCGACGTGTCTCTACTCCTTCACTTCCCTGCCCTCATGGAAAACCACATATTCCTCATTCTCTCAATTTGATCAGGTGTAAAGTTCTCGTAGCAATCATCAGATGAATAGTCCATAAAATTGTGGATTGCATCCAGACCAGGGAGGTCTGGACATGAGTCTTTCTGAGCCGGACAACCATTAGTCGGTTCAGATTGTTGTGGGGTGTCGTCTATATAGTCGCCTTCGTTATTGGATGAGCAAGTGTCTCCTTCGAATGTATGGAGAAGTCCGTTCCAGTGCCCAATCTCGTGGACGGCCGTTCCTCCTCGGTTGTAATGCGCTAAGGAACCTCCAGGCATAGTCCTGGCCAGGACGTTACAGCCGTCCTTTATATAGGTGGAACGTGGGCTACTGGCATTCATGCTTGGGTCAGGCAGAGTGCAAAAGCCGAGTACGCTGGACGATAGAGTTCCCATCTGTCGCGCAGAGACATCGCGCAATGCTCGAGCACCTCCATCAGATGAAATCTGAAGATCTGTCTGGAAATAAACATTAAGAGTGCTGTAACTCCCACGGCGCAAAGCACTCTTCATGGCAATTTCATCCTGGTTGTGGGCCCATGTATCGTTCACATGACGAGTAATGCCTTTGAGGCGATAAGATATGGTGGCATTCTCATATGCCTTTTGTAGATAGATCAACTACACTCGAGTTAATTTGTAGGGACAGGGACCTAGGTGATAGGACAAAACAAACCTGGGAGGCTATCATCTGGTCCGAAACCGAGTTGGCTGCAGCCTGGCTGCTCACGATATGAAACCATGTTTCTATTTCAATCGTGCTTTCGGCCTCTCGGGGCTCATATACAAAGCTCGAGTTGGTTCGTGGTATTGACATACTCAGCCTCCTAAATTCTGCTTTCAGTCGTTCGCTGGGCGCAGGCGTGGCACAGAAGCCGCGGTCTAAAGACGACGCGCCGCACAAGACCTGTATACCCATCATGATGAGCACCAACAAAGGGCATATGAAATTCCGAGCCATACTGGTTTCTTGAGTAAGATAATAGTTTCCTTTGAAGGAATACCCGAGTGAAATAAAAGAACAGCAAGCTGTTACCAACAGCTACGTGGAATGTGTCGTTAGCCAAGTATAACAACTTGGTCACAGGAATCCTAGGTGCTCGAGAATGCCGTAGCTAGGGGTAGATGCCCGGATGGGGAGAACAGAAGCAGCCTTCCCAGGGATGCGTCTGATAAGAACAGCAACTGATTTGGTAGCTTCAATCAATTTGGTGTAGACAAATATGAGGACATGAGCCAAGCAACTCCGTGAACAAAGGCATCAAAAACATCAGAATCCGATTTACTGACGCGATTACCATGTAAAGAAAAGACAGTGTGTAAAGAAAAAAGGAAAAGAGACATTACATTCCTATGAAAGAGGCGACGAAACGAACACCAGAAAATCCCTATGGAGCATGGGATCCAAATCTGCCATCTCTTCCAGTTGAGGTAGCAGGACTGCCATGGTCGTTGTTCCAGGTCAAATAGGTGTGGTCACCGAGTTTTCTGAATTAAGCGCGGATTAGCAGTGTGGTTTTCGAGCTGCGGAATGGCCAATTGAGGCTTTAGTGCGTACCTGGGTCGTACTAGGTGAGCAATGGTGAAGAGCGCGCCGAGAACAATGCAGACACCACCGACGACTACATACGCGATCCCCATAAAGGGATTTTGGCCACCGATAACAGTTCGAGTGGAAATTAGTATCGACTTCGTACCACCGTACTCAGTGACGGGAAAGCCTACTTTGCCATTAGCAACCTTGGTAATTGCTGGGATACTCAAACGTACGGTCCTCAATGTCGAGCTGGTAACTTCCCGCAGCCATGGTTGTGGTGTCGTTTCGCCGCGACAATTTGCTAAAAGCCGGCAATGCTGCGGTTCTCATCCATACCATGAACTCTTCATCCTCGTGAAGATTGGGGATTCCGTCAACGTATCCATTAGGATAGCGATCATGCCAATTAGGCGGAGGGACCACCTGCCATTTATTGTACTGGGTCTTCTTGATCAGCTGCTTGTCGCTGTCCCACGCTATACCTTTATTCGTCATGTAATATGTCTGAGCATCGTCGCCGTTCAGGAGCTCGGGACTGCTAATTGTGTCATTGAATAGCGAATTTGCAATAAGACCACATGGATAATACGCTTTCCCAGAATGGTCAAGCTTGAGCGGATCGCAAGATCCTCCACTAATAGTTTCGTTGTCGACGGCCTTTCCTTTCAGCTGATCAATATCGAGTGATTTGACATATCTGCGATGATTCTGGTAGAAGTTGGTCAGGCGATAGTACATGAATACGGGCGGTTCTAATTTATCAGGAATTTCGAAAATCAAGCGACAGACGGTTGTTCCATTCTTGTTCAGGCTCTGCCAAGTCGGTGTTGATTGTTCATTGCTCGATTTGAACGAGGTTTTCACCCTATCTGAAATTGAGGTTGGTCGGGAGGATGCCTTGCTGGCGCATTCTGAGTAGTCTATGACTATCTCCTGGACCTGGGGGACTTTAGCCTCCTAGACGTAATAGTTGTTAAAGAAACCACATACCTGCGAGCTGGCATATAGTAGAAGACCACCGATCGGGGCAAAAATGACGCCAATGACAAAAAAGAGAGGCAACACGCTCTTAGGGGTCAGGATTGGCCTGCATGTGTCAGCTTTCTTAGCTGATTGAGTTTCCATCGGGTTTTATTCCTCACTGCCAGGCTTTTAAACGCTGCTGCCGGAAAGCGGTATCTGTTCATCTTTATCAGACTGAAATCAGGCTATCCCAAGGGTGGTGCTGTCCTCACTTGCTGGTCTTCTAGTCTTGGACTTCTTGTCATCGCCAGACCCCCCATGCTCTTCATTGTTGTACTCCGTACGAGTGGCTTCTGTGTGAGACATTTCTAATGAGATCGAGCCCATACGACGCCGGGCCTAAGACGCGGATTGCTAATGGATGGGTTCCTATTCAAGTATCCGTTGAGGCAGGCGTTGCACGATGTCCATAGGCGGGCCGGGTGGCGTGGAATTGAGGATCCGGGAATCGGAAACTGCGTAGTTGGCAGGTAAAGCTTCCCAGTTCCCATAGTCGGGTAACTGCCGTACTGCCGCAGCATCTGTGCATGGCTTGACTGGTCCTGAAACTAGTTTGCTTCAAATAATACATTTTGCTTGATCTGTCAGAATTACACAATGGTCTATGGTTTTTATACTAGATATGGGTCGTGGTTTGTAGACAAATTGAACCTAGGCACGATGCAGACAATTTACTGGCAAGATAATACAGATTCTTGATTCTGGGTTGAAAGCAAAGGCAGGTATGTGCCCTAAATGAACATGACCAACCCCGCGCCGGAGGCTTGAGTAAATCGCGGCACAGAGACTTGATTGTAGCAACATGACCCAAGCCGACATGAACATACTATTGCAGAAATGGAATGGGGAGAAGCCTGAAGCAATCGGGGTATTAATTATAAAACACCAATGGTTAATAAAATGCATAGAACACCGCAATGATCGCTGGGCGGCAAGAAGTTCTATGCGATCACAGGAAGGCTGCTATGTCTAGGTGCAAATTTAAGCAATATACCACAATCATGGTTAGTGAGTGATGAGGTTAACAAGCGCGTGAACAACTGTGATATAACATGATGCACTGCCAAACTTCGAATACCGGATTGCTTACTACCCAGGAGGAAAGGCGGTAGTAAGACGTCTTCGATGTAAGAGATAACTTGAGATTCCAAGCCCTACTGTTGTCGATACTGTTGAAAATGTTCTGGGTTGAACCAGCCCACGCGTTCGTAAGCAGTCCACAGTTTGCTTGCCTTGTTCACGTCGATCTTGCAGGCCTGTTGGGCGTCTGTCTTTCGAAACTCCTTACCAACATTTAAGGCCTTGACTCTAGCTTCGAAGATTCGCCGCTTGCTGCACAAATACGTTGCGCATGAGAGCCTCAAGGTTGCTGCCAGGCTAAGCTCTGCTGAACTGAGTAGATCCCTGTCAGGGTCGAGACTGAGGTCTAACACCTGCCCTTTCCAGTCTGCTTTCAGCGCCTTTGCATTGCCACCAAGAGTCTCTATCGAAGGAGAAAAATCTTGGATGGAGCTATAGTCGATATCGTCTCGATTAGTTCCTATAGTGCGAGCTTGCCTCGCGCTTGATGGCGGGAGGTCAAAACTCTCAAGGATTTTCTGCTTTGGTGTAGACTTCGGTGTTCGCTTTACTCTAGAGGCCCGTTGAACACGAGGCTGTGCAGCCAGCGCCCTTTTCGCTGGTGCTGGTGCCAGTGTCTTCAACTTGGACTCGATTGACCGTGGGCGACATCGGTTCATCAGTGACAACTGACGCTCTAATGTCTCTCGCTCCTCTTTGGCCCATGCTGCTGGATTGCGATTAAATTGCGAAGATACGATCGGTACGCATGAAAGAGCTAGAAGATACTCGTCGCGCGTCGGCTTATTTAGTTTGTTCTCGAACATCGCCATGTGAGAATTGATATGTTGGTTGACCAACGCTTCCGCGGTGTTGGGAAGCATGGGCCCAAACAAAGGTTCGTCAGTGGCAATGTCATTTATAGATTCATGTCGGGGGAATAGAAGAGGATCTCTGGAAGTGCCAACAGCATCTTTGTCAATTTGTTCGGAGACATATGATTTCCTCTTTTTAGTTCCAGCATAGGGCGTAACAGGAGGGGATGGCAAGTCCATTTCTGATTGAGTACGCTTCCGGTTGCCTGGGATAGGAGGAAGTTCCATACTATGACTATATGCTGGATCCTGCGACAGTGTGAAACTGGACATCGTAGTCGGATTGAAGACCTCCAGAGGTTTCGACTCTGGAGGCGACATCAGACTGGAAACGGATGGGAGACGACTCATTTTGGCCTTATCGCTTGGTTTTAGCGACGAGGCAGTACTGAGTGAGGTCATCACGGAGAAAGATTCCCAAGCCCCGGTCACAGGCACGGGCAAGGGTGAGTCAAAGTTTAGGGTTTATAGAAAATGTTGTTGAAAGCAGAGATCACTGCTTTTAAGGTCAGCCCTGGGTAAATGTAATCTTCGAGTACAAGGTGGAAAGGTGCTATGGGTATTGATAGGGTGTTAATGGAAGTCAATGGAATTGAGACCTGATCAATGCTGGCAAAACACACGTGCTGTTGATTTGTCAGGGCGCCCTCTTTGTCTGGTGGCAATAAGCAGGTATAATTTGGGTCTCGGCGATAAGGCTCACAATGGCCGAGATGAATGGATACTAGGTATAAGGCGAGGACAAATATTTCCTGCTGGTGCCTTGCGCTATGGGGGGGGAAGGGTTCGCAAAAAGAGCTCACGAGATCTTTAAACCAGCAGAGTTTGATCTTTCTTACTTCCTATGAACCTCTTTTCCAAAAACAGGCTAAGGTAAGTATGAGTCAACGCGCCGATGGCTGGGGGCTGAGGGACTAATAGAAGCAGATTCAGCAGCGCTCATGGGATTGCGGGGTTGGCGCGTGGCGGCATTGAGAGGCAAATATTTTATGTAGAGCCAGTGAGCCAGTACCTTGGTCTATGATAATCAGGAAGCTGACTGTGTGGAGGCTGTGAACCTGATGACCTGCAAAAGTCAGGGCCAGAAATCACTTATCACTGATATGTTATGTATCACTACACTCGCACGTTAGCAGCAGAAACGATGATGCTATGGGGCATACCATATGATGGGGCGGGTCGGTCGATGATCTGCCACATGACGACAACCACCTTGGAAAAGCGGGGTCATCATTGCTGGTCATATGTACTGTACTCTGTACTGTACCTTGTAATAGAAAATGTGTGTGCGCCTGAAGCTTTCACTTCAATTCAATGCTTTTTCTGATTTGGCCACTTCCAGTGAGGGGCAATGAATCCACTTGGCGGTGTGTGTGGTACCCGACAAAGCATGCATCATCTGAGCTGATTGGCGTAATCGCCGGGCTGCAGGTTTACTACTCGGGTTTCAAAATATGTACAGAGCATGGAGTAGGTTAGTAGTTTTGGGTGTACCAACCCACAAATGATCATTAGAAGTTATTCCTCTGCTACTCATAGTACTCGTACCATGTACTATGAGCATGTACTCAGTATATCAGACGAAGGCTTCCAATCACGAGTTATTTCGGTGATACAGAAACCACGTGAATAGATTTATCGTAATTGGAATGTACAAGTATATAGTTATCTATTCGTATGACCAAAAGCATACTAAAGGATGCCCTCCCAGCTCGGGAATCTATGTATATTGTCTCACAGGCAATTGCGGAGCATGATTTGCCCCGGGACCAGGATTAAAGACGAGCTAAGGTCTAGATTATACATTCATGATATAACTATATGTATATGTTCTGGATACCGTTTAACTAGATACACGTAATGATTACATATACTTGATCCAAGAGGTATAATGCTAGATAGTTGACAAGTGAGATTATCGCTCATAATATTCGTATAGGCATTCGCTGGCGGCTGACTTCGTAATCACCGAGCATCATCGCAGCCTGTGCATGTTAGGTAGTTCAAGAAGTTTTAGGTGCTCGGTGCTCTGCAATCTTAGTTGGTAATTGATACAGTAAAGTTGCCAGTTTCAACAACAACTGCGGCCAACAAGCTGGAAGAGAACCTTCAAAATTTGGGTAATGTCTCTGCTTTCTTCATTTTCACAATCTCGTCAATTAGTTGGACATTAAGTAATGCCTGTCGGGCTGCCTCGTCCCCTGCGATAGCCTTGTTAGTACCCTGGCCGGAACCGAGATGCTTGTTGTGCCAGCCCCATCCGGTAAGATATACCCCAACATAGAAGAGCTGTGTTCCCTTCCCTTGCGGCGAGGGAGCGCGTTCATCAGCGTAACGAAGCTTGACGCCCTTTCCCATGATCTTCTTAGCAAGCGCTTCCTTGGCATGCAAAGTAGACCTTTGGTCGCCAAGTCGCTCAAGCATCGGCAACCACAGCTTTGTCAACCATTCTTCAGCTATACCATAGCCGTCGCTTGGACTAGATAATACAAGGCCCGCGACATATGCTTCGAAAATGTCCGCCTTTGTTTTTGTCCACCTTCTTGGTTGATCCGCGTAGTGCGACGGCACAGAGGCTTTGGTGTCAAATCCATATCTTGTTGCAAACTCGGCTAATGTATCATTTCTTACGAGTGTCTCACGGATCTGCGATATTCGACCAGATGATATATCCTGAAACTTGTCCCAAATAAGTCTCGTGGATATGACTTCGATGTACGCATCGCCAAGGACTTCAAGGCGATCGTATGTGGCGCCGATGTCATTCTTCATGCCTGGATGCGTGAAAACCGCGTTTCGAAGGGCGCTATCCGAGATCTGAGGCAGATCCGGGAGCTGGGAATTATGCTTGTTTGCTATGATCTGGGAATTCTGATCCTGTGAACTGTTGGATGAAGGAACATGGACTTCTTCGTGACATAGGGCAGCATCGAGCTCTGTCAGAAGCCTCATGATATTTGAAGCTGCCTGACGGTTCGTGATCATTGAAAGGCTGCGGTTGTCGATAGCGTCGCGAACCACAGCCTTCAGGTCAGAAAATGCTTTATCATGCTGCCCACGCAAGATGGGTGGATGTTGGGCGCGCTCTGGTGCATTGCGCTGCTATTGTCAGGATTCAAAACATACAAGTCCGGTACTTAGAGCTGCGGGTCACCTTTATCTTTTTATCACTATCAGTTGATGCTGGGGAAAAGACAGACTTCCTTTTCGAAGGCATGTTGGGGAATTTGTGTACAAGCCAAAGATTGTGACTGCATAGATCATTTCGGGTTTGGAAAAATACCCCGGTCACGTGGCGTGGCTTCAAAAGTAGATACGGGGTACAGTCTTAGGCGCAGTTTGTAACTCCATCTCAGTGGCTATTGCCCGATTGCCCAGAGATGGCCACCCAATACAGCCGAGTATTAGAGCTGGCAAAGGTACGATGATTCAGGGAAGATATGAATTGTGCCAAAGATATTTGCTTCTTTCCTACCCCTCATCATACTTGTTGTGGACTTCAACTCACCTCTCGGCAGGTCCAGTGCCGGATTTTCTCACTAAACTTCAATCCGGAGAGGCTACGCCTGGGAAACAAGGTCCTACGTCAAAGACTGCGCGGTCCGAGTCTTTCGGCATGGTATCCCAAGAAAACTGTCTCTTTCCGAGATTTGCAAGCCACATACAAGCCCCTGGGCTTGACAATGTTTGATGAAGGGGAAGATGATCGGGAAGAAGCCATCCAGATGTATGTTCCCTGACAATCCTCTGGAACCATTCTTACCGGTTTCAACAGTGCCAAGTTACGAGGGAAAGGTAGACCAAAGAAAAAGAGAACCGCCGCAGGTAAGTCTTACCAACTTGATGGCTGCAACATGCCAGAGACACGATCTCATTCAAAACCACAGAATCGCGGTCCGCCAAGAAGAAGAAATAGTCTACCACTAGCACATATCGCAGACTGCACGTCTAGATTATTGGAATTGAGACATCCTGTTTACTTCCTGCCGTGGAATAGGCATGGCATCGTTCCGAGCCCGGTTTATTGTAAATGATTGCATGTGTGCTTGATTACTGGACAAAACACTGAAAAGACCCAAATCACAAACATCGGGCCTCTGGGGGTCTATGTAGTCGACAATAGATGTTCAATGGGTCAATCACAGTCAATCACGCTTTCAATCACAAACTCCATACATTTGAAGTTTTGGCGCAGCGCAGAAAATTGCGGCTTGAGATCCCAGATCATATCTGGTCTTTGCAAGGGAACCAGTGTCTTGTAGTCCCCAAGAACATATGCATTAAGCGTACAATTAGAATCCCTAGCTAGACTACCTCTTATCCGAGAGTGAGAATGCCACGTGATTCGAATTGCGTTAGTGGCTGGAACACCTACGGACCACGCAACTTCCTCGCCGCCCTGCTCCTAGGCACGAGAACCTAGCCTGTTGACCTACCTACCAATACTACGCAATTCACACAAATTTTCTAGCTTATCGGTTGTATCCCTTAGCAGTCACTGCGAAGCCAAGAGAAGAACAACCGAGTGTTCTAATCATACTGACAGCCAGCTATGAAAGCCAGTAAAAATCAGCTGAGAAGAGCAAAGAAGAAAGCTCTGAAGTCTCAGGTACGTTTTCGATTCAAAGCCTAGCAACGACCTTGTCAATTGATTCGCGCTTTGTACAGGCTAATTTGACCGACATTATCCGCGGCACGCCTAATGGGCAATCCGCGGGCCATGACGACCCTTCGCTCCCTGGACCCGAAGTTATTTCGCAAAACTTCCCAAGTATCATAGCTTCGGAGGGAGATGATTCACTATGGCATTTATATAAGGATGTCATTGGCAAATTTGAAGACTCCGAGGATGGAAGACCGGAAACAAAGGAGCTTCCCAGACCTATTATTTATTTCGATGACGATAATGAAATCCCGGACGAAGAGGCGAAAGAGCCTATTTTGTCAAGACGAAAACGGAAGGAGTTGAACAAACTTTCTGTCGCCGAATTGAAGGCAATGGTTCGAAAGCCAGAGATCGTCGAATGGACAGACACATCAGCGCCCGATCCAAGGCTGCTTGTTCACCTCAAATCGCATCGAAACGTTGTGCCTGTACCAGCGCACTGGTCATTGAAGCGAGAATATTTATCCTCGAAACGAGGAGTCGAAAAGGCTCCGTTTGCATTGCCGAAGTTCATTCAGGAAACGGGGATATCTGAGATGCGTGATGCTGCTTTGGAGAAGCAAGAGCAGGCGACTTTAAAACAAAAGCAAAGAGAGAGGGTTCAGCCGAAGATGGGAAGGTTGGATATCGATTACCAGAAGCTCTATGAAGCATTTTTTCGGTTTCAAACAAAGCCAGAACTCACACGTTACGGGGAGGTTTACTACGAGGGCAAGGAATATGAGACTAATCTAAGACATCTTCGGCCTGGAGAGCTTAGTGCTGAGTTAAAAGAGGCTTTGAATATGCCCCCGGGTGCCCCACCTCCATGGTTGATCAATCAACAACGGTATGGTCCGCCTCCGTCCTATCCTGCTCTCAAAATACCAGGTCTGAACGCTCCCCCGCCTCCAGGCGCGATGTGGGGATATCACCCGGGTGGGTATGGAAAGCCTCCGGTCGATGAGCATAATAGGCCCCTCTACGGTGGTGACATCTTCGGTGTTTTACAGCCTCAGCAGGCTGTCCAGCAGGGTGAGCCTGTGGAGAAGGATCTTTGGGGCGAATTGCAGGCACCGGAGTTAAGTGACGATGAGAGCGATGACGATGAAGAAGACGCAGCTAGCAGTGTTGCGGATGGTGATGAGGATGTGGACACGGGAATGCAAACTCCTAGTGGTTTGGAGACGCCCAGTGGGTTGACATCCGCTGTTCCAACGGAGACAGGCGGCCCTGAAAGCATTGCTGGTGAGTTCGACGTGCGGAAGCATTATCGAGGAACTCAAACAGAGGAATCCGCAGCCCAGAGAAGCGCCTTCCAGATTATCCCAGAGAGGCAGGCTCATGTCCAGGGATTTTTTGGGGCAGATAGAGTCTATGATCTTCACAAGACTTCGGACAGCCTACCGGTTCTGGGATCTGATGACAGCACCAGAAAGCGGAAAAAGCCGGGTGATGTCGATGTTTCTTTTGACCCAGATGCTTTGCAGACGGGAGACGGAATGGGGCAGGCTGATATCAAGAAACTCTACGAGTCACAGAAGCATCGCGACATGGACCCAGGTTGGAATTTTCAGGAGGACTTGAGTGACATGATTGCTCATGAGAGTCGTAAAAGGCTGAGAAAAGAGGATGAGAAACGTAAGAGATAGAAGGTACATTCTAGTACTTAGTCAGGTCATAAGAGCAAGGTGACTGAAGCCGACTCCATCATTGTTCCACCATTGCGAGTTCTGCTGTTCTCGACCGGGTGCTCTTATCAGTTGCTGGAATTAGATGTTAAGCTGTCCTGAACTCTCTGTGTTTTTACTGTTAGGGGAATCAATTAAACCTTTTCCTAGACCATAGATGTGAGATACTATACTTTTTTGCTGAGCCTCGGCTGTGTAAGGGCCCAACCCAGCCCTTGCAATCTTCGCGGTTATCGCGAGGAGAAATCTATATAGCAGGCCTCAGATATTAACCATATAATAATTAAGCGAGCCGGCCGCAGTTTTTACAAAGATAGCAACTGTCTTATAGATAAAAAAAATTAAAAGAATTAAGAATAATATTCTAAAATAATATATTATTATTTAGATCTTATAAATATTATTTATTTATTATATTATTTTATTATTTTAGCTTTTATAATTTTACTACTTATATTTTAGAAAATAATTTATTAGATAATAAATAGATGTAATATATAAAATTAAATTAAAAATAGTATTTTCATATACTATAAAGCAGATTACTTATTTTATTATTTTTTTAATAAATACTAAAAGTTAATAAGGTTTTGTTTAATTTAGAAAATATTCTAGCAGAGGAAGTTATATCTGAAATTTTAATAAAAATATATTTTCTTATTTATATAAATATACGATTGATTTAGCAGTTTTGATTGTTTCTAAATAAATATTTTAAATAATTTTATTAGTTAATATCTAAATTAGTACTAAAAACCTTATCCAATATAAATTATTGATTCAATTAGTTTTTTATTACCAGTTGGCTAGATTCCGAAAATATTAATATATATTAATTTTTAATATAAAGGATATTAATTAATCTATAGTTTAAGCAGATTCTTTTTTATATTAATTTATTAGTTTATTATCTAGTATATTGTTATAGTTTGAAAATTATTAAAAAGTGTCTATTAATTAATTTTTTATATATATTTAAGCTAGTAGATTTTTTATTTAATAATTATTTATTCTAATTAATACCGCGATTAGTATAAACTTATATAACTATTTGATTATTAATAAGAATTATTATTAACTCAGACTTAAAAATAGCCAGAGTTTATAATAAAGAAATAATCTTTTTATAAACAGATATATTAAAATTTTGTAATAAAAATTAAAAGAAGTTTTATATTACTTAGCTTGATAAAATAGATTATAAAAAAATTAAATTGATTAATAAAATTTAATTTTTCTTATGAATTATTATTATAATATTGATCCTATTAGAATAGCCGCTGCCGTTGTTATATATAAAAAATAATATTAAATAAATATTATACAATACCTTCTGCTACAGCATCCTAGACTAACTATTAAGATAGTCTGCTTCTAGATAAATATCAATTTACCCGACTTTTAATCCGAATATTTGTATTATTATATTATCTGTTTATTTTTCTATATAATATATTTGTTGGGCTTCGAGGCCTTAAGAAACAATAATTCATAGATAGATAGTTGTTTTCTTTATTTTAGCTATCTCGATATGTATATAAGATTATTTTTCTAAAGCAGTAAGAAAGAGCAGTATCCAAGCCGAGAAAAAAGATTTAAAATATCGAAGGTAATATTTCCTCTACTTCGCAAGTAAAATACATATACTAAGTAGAAAACTAAAAAATAAAAATAAAATTCGATGTTACGAAAAAAATAAAAATAAAAAATAAAAAAAAAGAGTCTATTTACTAAATACTAAAAATTAAATTAATATATATTTACAAGCCGATATAATTAGAAATTACTGAATATTTGATAGTCTTTATAGAATAGATTTATCTAAAAGCTATTTTTTCAGTAGCTTTTTATAGAAATTAACAGTCTTTTATATAAAGAACTATTTTTTGATATTAAAAAGAATATTCTATCTATATATTAAGAATATAAGATTAATATTTTTTTTATACTAAGAAAATAAGCCTCTAGTATAGTTATATAGAATTTTTAGATTTTATTAGCAATCGAGTATAGAAAGTAATATTTATTTTTAAATAATTTTTTAAAAGCCGGAGTATTTTTTATATCTGATAGTATTATAAGATTAAAAATATTAATAAAATTTTTTTTTATTATTTTAACTATAGGCTTCTTTTATATTAAATATTAGTTAATAATCCAGTTATATAACTTCGAAATATTAATTTTATTATTTATAAAAAATATTAATATTATAAAAATATTATTTTTTTTATTAAATAACAGGCGTATAAATTTCTTATTAAAATTAGAATTATTATATTTTTTTAAGTTCTATTTTTTATCTTTTTATTTATATAAACTTTTTTATAAAGAATATTACAGAACTTTTTTATATTTTTAATATATTAAAAAAAGATTTTATCAGCAGGAATAATATAATTCTTTATTTTAATCTAATTTTAGACTTTATTTACTTAGTTATATAAAAAGATTTTATTAAATAGCTTTTTATAGCCGATCTGCTATTTACTATAATTTTAAATTAATATTTTATTTTTTAACTTCTTTAGTATATTATTAGATAGATTTAGTATTATATAGAGAGTATTAACTTTTTAATTAATAATTTACTATTATTAGAAACTTACTATATTATTAAAGTTTTTAATAGTTTATTTAGTTTTAGTAATCTAAAGCAGAATTAGTTCTAGGATTTTTTTCTTAATATTATATTTTATTTTAAATTCTAATAAAGTATTATAAGATTTAAGATTATTCTTCGGAATATTCTTACTATACTAGTTAATAATTTAATAAAAATTTAACTTAATTTATAACTAATAGAAAATATAAATAATTAAATTATTATAAATTATACTATATTTATAAATATATTATTTATTTTATATCTAACTAATTATAAACTTTAAGAGTTTTAGTTTGTTATAGATTAGAAATAAAAAAAAGATATAAAATATTAGAAAAGTAAATCGGCCGATATTATATAATTAATA